CCTAGATGGAGTTCCTGTCAGCCTTCATGTTACATATGTTCAGGGCCCCTCAATCTGGAAGTAGTTTGTGGAGACCCTTGATGGAACTGGTTTCCATGTGAGGACTACAGGGCAGTTGGGGGCAATGTGACTGGTTAAATACTGGTCTGTCAGCTCTGCAGGTCTGTAGGTTTGGAGCCGAATCCAGGCACCAAAGTGGTGCAGCTGGCCCCTGCCACACACTGGTGTTTCTCCTAACCATGTGGCTCTGGACATCTGAAGAGCAGGTTCTGAGCTGGGAGTGGATGAGGGTGTCAGCTGGCTACACCTCTTGTTACCAGGGTTGTTGTTGCTTCTTTAAGTGCCATTGAGTCAGTTCAGACTCATGACAATCCTGTATGGAGTTTCCGAGGAGTGACTGGTGGGTTTGAACCGCTGATGTTATGGCTCAAACTGACCTTGCAGTCCAGCACATTATCCTACAGTACCACACAAGAACTAGCATGGGGATAAAGAAGGAATCACACCTTTCCCATTATGTGTCAGGTCACCTTCTGTTTCCAAAGCTGCTCGCAAAATGGTCGCACCATGTCTAGCAGGTCATTCACCAGTCTGTCTCCCTCTCTCACTGTTCTTGCTCAGCTTCTCCTCCCAGCACTCTTCTATAAACTTCCCACCAAAGTTCAGTGTTCCAGGATTTTATCTCCGTTTTATTGGTCTCTCGTCTTTTTGCTATGGTGTCTTGGTGTGGCTCTGTGAGTTAATGCACTGGACTGCAAAGTTGGTTTGAAAGACAAGGTCAAAAGTTCAAACTCACCAGCTGCTCCTTGGAAACCCTTCCTATACAAGGTCGCTATGGGACAAAATTACTCAATGGCACTTAACAACAATGTCATCTTTGCTGTAGAGAGTCTGTGCAGTACGTCTGCTTAGTCCTCCATTTTGCCAGAAGTCCCTATCACTATTTTTTTTAAGGATTTTTGCATTTTAAAGAGCACTGGTGGTTGGGCCTTGGGCTGCTAAGTGCAAGTTTGGTAGTTCAAACCCACCTGCTGGTCTTCAGGAGAAAAGTGAATCTGTGCTGCAGTAAAGATTTACAGTCTAGGAAACCCTAAATAGGGTCACTATGGGTCAGAGTCATCTCATTTGTAGTATTTTTTGTTCCGTTGTGTTCTTCATACTTCTTTATTGGTCTTGAATGGATAGATAATCTGTGTTGCCATACCAGACAGCTAAGTCTTAAGAGTTTGTTCTTTCTACTAAATTTTTTAAATTTCATGCATGATTTTTATTTAGCTTTTTTCTTTTTTAATCCTGATGCCTGAGTCCAATATACTAATGGAAATGAATTTAAAGAATACCATGTTTTTATCATATCCCCTGCATAATACCATCATTTTAACTACACATTGCACTGCATTATTAGAAATTAATATGAGACATTGTATCAGTGTATAGTCTTGCTTTTTAACTTATAAAAGCAAGTGGATAAATTTTGTTGAATCTGTACAATTTTAACTTCAATTGCCTTTAGTAAACTCTTTTGCAAAATACATTTCTTAACTTATTTCAGACAGGATTTCAAACTGATGTTTTTCATTCTGTTTATAAAACTATTTTAACTTAAATTCTGTTCATCTCAAGATTTTGTAATTAGTTTTGAAAGTAGCAACTGCATCTGCAGCATTCACTAATAATTAAATCTAAAGTGACAATAGTGTTCAATTTTTAATCACTGTTTTAAAACCTTTTTTTTTAAAGTGTTAAGAAGAGAAGCCACCTAGATGTGGACTGTGACTAACAGCTTCCACTATCTGTCATCAATACTTTGGTAAAAGAATGCAAACAATTGAATCTCTTCATTGATGAAACCAATTACTAGTAGTAGTGTTGTTGCTGTTAAGTGCTGTGGAGTCGGTTCTGACCCCTAGAAATCCTGTATAAGGTTTTTGAGGTTCTAAATCTTTGAAAGAGCAGAAAGCCTCATCTTTCTCCCATGGAGCAGCTGGTGGGCTTAAACTGCCAACCTTCTAGTTTGCAGTCTAGTGCTTATCCTCTAGAGCCACTACACTCTTCAGCGTGTCATTATCACCATAATTATTATTATGCATTTAAAATATTTTCTTTTTCCTATTCTAAAAATTGGAGTGCAATGGTTCTTTAGAATAAGAACTAGACTGCAAACCACAAGGTCATCGGTTCGAGTCTTAACAGCCACTCCGCGGGAGAACAATGAGACATTCTATTCCCAAAAAAGATTTCCAATCTCAGAAACTTTATACAATGTCACTATGAGTCAGAAGTGACTCAATGACACTTAACAACCACAACAACATTTTAAAAATTAGGATGAAATATTTTTAACTTACTGACCCACTCATGTAACCAATACCCATTAGTGGTCTTTGTACCCTGAAAGTTTTTAAAACACTGCTAAAGGAGCCATTGACATTTTTGACATCAGGAAATGATCTGGCTTGATGTGTATTTCAGAAGATAACTTCTTGCCCCTAAATATTAACTATATTATTGGTTTTATCATTGGAGTCTTTGTGTGGCCCTGTGAGTTAATGCGCTGGACTACAAGGCTGGTTTAAATCGGCTCACCAGCCGATTCCTTGGAAACCCTAGCATGCCTTAAAACTTGGTAAGCTTTTCTTTGTCTTATTTTTGCAATAATATTAGCTGACCTGCATCTGACAGTCTGTATAGTGAATATATTCCAGAGATGATAAATTTGATAGAAAAAATAATAGAGGGTAAAAAGGTATGTACCATATCAAATTCTGAATACCATTTTTTAACCTAAATTGTAATTTTATCTCATTTTTGCATGAGTACTGTATTATGTTGTTGTTAAGTGTCATTGAATTGATTCCAATTCACAGTGACAGTACCCTATATATGGTTTCCAGGATTTGTATCTGTGTCTGTTTCATTTGGTCTCTCATATCTTTGCAGTAGAGAGTCCATGTAGTGCATCTGCCTAGCAGCTGGAGGATTTGAACTGCCGACCTTGTGGTTCACAGTCCAGTGCTGATCCTATAGCACCACTCCAGGAGTCCTACCAGTATATTCTACTTCTCTCAAAGCAAGGTGGGGGGGGGCATTCCTTGACACAGAATTTTTATAGTCCTTCCTCTAGAAACACTGAAAAACACATTACTTTCCTTGAAAGTTATTAACCTGGTACAATGTTTGCAGATTCAAGCACTATATATCAAAGAACTATATATTTTGTAAGTACCAAAAAAGATAGTGATGGTGGTTATGTGCCATGGAGTTGTTTCTGACTCATAGCGACCCTGTACAGGGTTTCCGAGGCTGTAAATCTACAGAAGCAGAAAGCCTCATCTTTCTCCCACAAACCAGCTAGTAGTTTTGAACTGCTGACCTCGAGGTTAGCAGCCCGACTCATAACCACAATGCTACCAGAGCTCCTTAAAAAAAAAGATAGTATCATTGCTAAATTGACTGCTAAATATTATATCTGATGAAATGTAAAACAATCTAATAAGAATATGAATTTTCTTAGATCATATAAATTATTTAGTGATCTTTTGATACTACAGGTAAAATCTTATTTAATGAAGAATGACTTTAAAGGGGGGTTATGAGGTTGGGAATGTTACTCTCTTTGAGTAAGATCCACTTTTCCTAAAATTTTAGTCATTTAAGACAACCACACTTGAGCCACAAAATAGCTATTGCTTTTTACAACATTGCAGTTCATTGTTGATCCTATTAGTTGCCAATTCATTGTAATTCTGCTCACTAATGCTAGATTAGTTTACCAAGAGAGTGAGATACTATAATAGTGATGGGATTATAAACCTACAGTCTTCATGAAATGCCTCACATTTCATAGACTTTTGTTATATTACTATTTCAGAATGCATTGGGCCTTTAAGAACTGCTAAGAGAAATTACAACATTTCAAAACCCTGTATTTAGGGTCTGATTACTGGAGCACACTGTGACTGGGTTAATGTTTAGCATGGCTGTCCTGTGGATTCACTAGGGTGTTGAGAGATGGAGACTTTATTTTTCTTTCCTAGATGGACCTTGTTTCCCAATTAATTAATACCTGCTTTAAAATATCCTTTGGAATAGAGTTGGGAAGTCTTAAAACTTAGTAATGGATTTATTTTTATAACTGAAATAGCTGCTTTCACCCAAGTAGGAGTATTAATGAATATCAAGCTACACGCTGCTCTCCGGGTAGAGCACTACTAGTAAGAACAACTGTTTTTTTAAAACTCTATTCTGGGATTTCATTGTTACTATGCAGTATTAAAGAACTAACCTTGTATATAGTAAGCTCACATGCAGTTCAATTTTCGTTTTTTTCTTTAGTTATATGTAGCTAGAACAAAGGCATAAAACGTATGCATGCAGTTTAAAGAACAATTATGAAGTGAACACTTGAGTAACTACCACCAAATTTAGAAAATGTGTCAACATTTCAGAAACCCCACCAATCACCCACTTGCTCCTCCTAGATCACAACCTTTTGTGGGTTGTGATTATTATTTATATCTGTTTTTTTGGTTTTTTTTCTTTTTCTTTGTAATGCAATCACTTAATGATATATTCTTTTGTGTCTGACTTCTTTCATGCACCATTTTAGTGTGTGAGATTTTTAATCTGTTATTGCTATCCAGTGCATTGTTAAAATAAAGCCTTTTATTAAAATATATATTTGCCTTTCTCTCTTTTTACTTAGGATCTTTGTAACTCTAGATGCTTTTGAATCTTTCTACTTTGCCTTCTTCAACTTTCTGCTAAACAGATCCCAATACTAGTCTGGACCCCAGTTTTCTGAACTAACCCCACTGCCCCCAGTTTGATGGCATCTGTTTAGATGAGACTACATCTTTAAGGCTTCTGTGCTCAGTTAAAAAATCTTCCCTTCTCCAAGGCTGGTCCAAGGGTCTGGTCATGTGATTTCACCAGTGACATCACATTCTGACTGCCGGGGAACACTGATTCTTTAGGTGGCAATTTGTTCCTGTGAACACAGAGAAGGCAGGCAAGTGTCCTTCTAAAGCAGTTGCTACCAGGTCTCCTGTAAAATCTCCTCATCCTAAATGACCAACTGCTGCAGTCTGCCAAGGTTATTTCTTCCCTGAGGCAAGAAGGGGGAAAAAAGCAAGCTGTGATTGAAGGTAAGCCGACTTTAGCCAGAGCTTGGAAATGAAGCATGACCCCAGGGAGAAGGGGCTCTGGATAATCACAAATGGTGTACTGTAAGATTCTAATCACTGCTTGCTTTTTTAGAGCTGCCTGACAATTGCCATTGTTAACAGTAGACTAACTACAAAAAAGGATGATGTACTCAGTGCTTGTGTTACCTACTGATGTAATAGGATTCTTTCTTCCTGTTAGGAAGCTTGTTGCAGGTCTACATTCATTTTGTCTTAATATCCTTAGATCTAGGGGGACTCATTTGATATATTGTGTAACATTAGAGGATTTTTTAAATTCATAAAAATCTTTTTTTCCCTCTCTCCTAAAAGGAGAAATCTTAAGCTAGAACAAATTGTTAAAGTAAATTTCTGTTTATCTGGTTCTCTATGTTCATGTCAGCATTTGAGTTGAGAATTGAAACAGTTTGTTTTTTTTTCCCTTGCTGTACTTTATTCTCTTTTGGCCCTTATTTCTTAGCTGGCTTTTTCCCTCCAAGCTCTCAGCTACACACCAGCATTAATCTTTATCAGCATGACACTAACATGATAGGAAATGCTGGGTTGGTGATTCAGCAGCCAACCATTTTACAGCCAGGTACTCTTGAAGATACCGAAAGGACTTTGATTTGGCATTTTAAGATTAACTTGTTCACCTCCACTCCACACCTTACTCCCACCCCCAATATGATTTCACTTCTGCAGAGTTTTTTTTCTTTCAAATATGTACATTACTATGCTCAATTCTGAAAACTTGTGCTTTGTAAACCAGGTACAGCTTAGGGTGGTAGTTCAAATTTACTCTTTGAGAACACTGAAGTTATCTGTTAGGAGTGGAGAGTTCAAGATGGAGATGCAGATGGGAGGGAGAGAGGGTCCATCCAGGCCCACTTTGGCTTTCTCTGAGAAGGGATTAGTTGCCAAATAGTCTGGATGAAACCTTGTCCCTGCCAAGGTTGGTACAGCAAATGTGAGCTTTGGCTGGTTGAATTAAGTGATGGCGTTACTTTGCATTTTCCCCCAGTGTGTATTTGCATAAATTCCTCAATGCATTTTGTTTAATAGCAAAATATTGCTCCATTAGACGCTGTTGCAGAAATACTTTGAGCAAATTTGTTAAGCAATACTAACTCTGTGTGAGTTCAACTTCTTAGTTTGAATACCTCTTCCTGATCCCCATCATTCATCAAACAAATTTTGATTCAGTAGGTATTTATTGAGTCTAAGATATGTGCTAGACACTTCTGAGAAGGCAATGATGAATCAGACAGAGGACTTGCCTTCAAAGAACTTAGTTTGGAAAGGAAGATAAGAATTGTGTGTAAGTAATTGTAGTGTTGCTGTTGTTGTTTAATGCCATACAAAAAAAGTAATTGTAATAGAAGTACTAAAAGTGACACAGATAAAGAACAAAACGATGACTTTTGAGCGAATGAAATGTTTCTTCCAGTTGAAAGATCTAGGAGGGACATTTCATCACTGAGCCATGTGCTGTTTTCTTAATCTCATCTTGTAAATCTTAGACTTCTCTGGCATACTCACTTATCTGCATAGGTATTATACCCACTTCAGGGCTGGCAGCAAGGATCCTTTTCAATCACTTTCAAGCCATCATTAACTTTTAAAAAGTCGAAGTCTTATACCAATCAAAGTGAACTTTATACATTTTAAACAGCTTTTCTTTTGAAGAGGTTGACATACTTTCTTTGGAAGCCCCAATCAGGTTAAAGTTGCCCTATAGCAGAGGTAGCATAGTGGTTATGAGTTGCGCTGCCAACCTCAAGGTCAGCAGTTCGAAACTACCAGCTGTTCCACAGGAGAAAGATGAGGCTTTCTACTCCCATATAAATTTACAGCCTCAGAAGCTGTATACAAGGTCACTATGAATTGGAACCGACTCCATGGCACATAACCAACCAACCATAGCAGAGGTGGGGAATGTACAGCCCGCTGGCCATGTGAGGCCCTTGAAATCCTTTCATCTGGCCCTGCCAAGGCAATCACAGTTCCAGCCATCACATTGTTATTGTTAAGTGCTGTTGAGTCGATTCTGACTCATAGAGACCCTGTATAAGATTTCCAAGGAGCAGTTGGTGAATTTGAACCACCGACCCTTATGGTTCAAACTGACCTTGCGCTTTATCCCACCGCACTACACCAGGACTCCTTGACCAAATATAGTCAGCTAATTTTTACGTTGATAATTTTGTATGGCCCGTGAATACTGTTATAAAATTTGGCAGGAGAAAAGGTTCCCCACCCCTGCCCTATAGGATTGAGTTATTAAGTGGTTCCTGATATGATGTCTGCAAAAATCTTTGATCCTTTGTCTCCCTTCCAAAACAAAAACTAAATACCTGAGCTGATCCAAGCTCCTGTCTTGTTTCGTTACAGCAACTCCTATCATTTCTCCCTTTCACTGTCACTCTCACACGTCCCTTTCTATTCAGACTGCCTTAAGACATTAACCATCTTGTGCCTGTTGTTGTTAAGTGCCGTGGAGTTGGTTCCGACTCATGGTGACCCTGCATAAGGTTTCCAAGGAGCGAATGGTGAGTTTGAACTGCCAACCTTGCAGTTATCAGTCCAGTGCTGATCCTACAGCTAGCTCCACTAGACTGCAGAAAACTCTGAATGTGAGGGACATTCCCACCCACTGATGATATTATATTATCAGCACACCCTGACTATAGTTGTCTGACAGTTGAAGGGCTCACCTTTCCATACTTAGAAAGGAAGTATTAGGAATGTAAGAGTGTCTGAAGTGCTAATATCTGTTTCCTATTTAATACAGAGGACAAGCCATACAATGGTGCAGGAATAGGTTTTGTCAATCGGATGATGGACTTCTTGGAGGAGCCAATCCCTGGTGTGGGGACCTATGATGATTTCAATACAATCGACTGGGTGAGAGAGAAGTCACGAGACCGGGATAGGCATCGAGAGGTAAGGCGAAAAAATGTGTGTGAATAAGTATTAGGAAACACCAGTTGAAGATACATATCCTTTACATTCATTTCTTTCATCAGCCCTGAATGTGGCTGAACCTTGCTTTAATTAACAATGCAGAGTTTTATTTTTTAATTTATTTTTGTTTTGTAATTATTTTGTATGTTGGCTTCAAGATTTCTTTTAAAATTTAATGAGTGTTTATTTTTCTTTAGTAAGCAGTTGAAAAGGATCCTTGATGGCAGCCCTGAAATGGGTATAAATGCCCATAAACAGACTTGAGAAGAATCCAGATAAATTTTTAAGTCTTCCTCCTGCATCTCAGCTACTTTTTGTGGTTTTCCTTTGAAGCAGGATTTTTTTAACTAAGAAAAATAGACTATCTTCACTAAAGGAATAAAGGAAGAGAATAAATGTTCAGAGTTCTAATATTTACTGGGAGTCACTTGGTAGTGCAAATAGTTAAGCACTTGGATACTGACCAGAAGGTTGACAGTTCAAATCTATCCAGAGACACCATGGAAAAAAGGTTTGATCATTTACTTCCAAAAGATCACAGCCATTGAAAACCATATGAAAACGGTTGTACTCTAACACACATGACATATCCGTGGGTTGGAATTGACTTAATGACAATTGTGGTTTGGGGTTTTTTTTAATGTTTGCTGAAGCATACAAGATAAATTCTTTGTGATTATAGCTTTTTCACACCCATAAAACCAAAGCAAATGTACACAATAAATTCAAACAAAACTAGCAGACCAACCAAATTCAAATTTAAGCACATTAATTTACTGTGATAGGTTATAAAATCAGCTTGAGATAGGCAGCTGATCTCAACTCTTGGTGGCCCCCATGTGTGTTGGAGTAGAACTGTACTCCATAGGGTTTTCAATGGCTGAATTTTTTTTAAAGTAGATCATCAGACATTTCTTCCAAGGTTGTTCTGAGTAGGTAGGCTCTGGCCTCCAACCTTTCAGTTAGCAGCTGACTGCCTTAGTAGTTTGTTTGCACTACTCAGAGATTCCATTGTAGGTAGTCCATCCATCTGACCGTTACCCTTTATAGAAGTCAACTGCCACAACTTCCTTCCTCAGAGTGGGTGGTAGGTTAGAACTACTGACGTTTTGGTTAGCAGCTGAGCATTTAACCACTGCAACACCTTGTAATAGGTTGTTACTTACTGCTATGATACAGGCTCTTTTGAATTTTAAAAAATAGTTTTTATACTTTTCTTTTTTCAGAGTACTGTGAAAACTTCTCAGAGTACTCTGTAAAGATCATTTGCCTTTGACTTGGTCCTATGTTATCATTTAAATCAGTCACATATTGTAGTTTGTGGAAGGGTCACATGAAGAGCTTATTGAAAAGGTAGGTTACCAGCCCCATCTCAGAGATTCTGATTCAGTAGGCCTTCTGGTGAGACATTTCTTTAATCAACAATAGTAGGTAGAAAAAAAGTAAGTTTTTCTATCTTGTTATTTCTGCTTTGACTCCAAATAAAGACTTGAGGTTTTGTTTGTTTGGTAAAAATATATACAGCAAAACATTTGCCAATTCAACAATTTCTACATGTATAATTCAGTGACATTGATTGCATTCTTCATGTTGTGCTAACATTATCACTCTCCTTACCCAAATTATTGTACTACCATTAACATTAACATAAATCCAGTGCTGTCTAAGCAAAAACTCCCTCCCTCTCATTGTGTGCCGTCAAGTTGGTTCAGACTCATGTGACCCCGTATAGGGTTCCCAAGACTGTAAATCTTTATGGAAGCAGAAAGCCTCATCTTTCTCTCAAAGAGTGGCTGGTAGATTTGAACTTCCAACCTTGCAGTTAGCAACCCAATGCTACCAGACCTCCTCCCATCCCTGGCAGCCGCTACTAATTGGTTTTATATGTTTGCTTATTTCATATAAGTGGGATCACACAATAGTTGGTTCTTTTGTAATTGACTTATTTCACTTAGCATAATGTTGTCAAGATTCATCCATCTTGTGGGCATGCATTGGAACTTCATTTCTCTTTATAACTAATATTTCTTTGTGTATATATTCAACATTTTGTTTATCCATTCATCTGTTGATGAAAATTTAAGTTATTTTCAACTTAAATGATTCAATTATTCCACTATTAGGGATAGTGCTGAAATAAATTTTGGTGTCAAACATCTATTTGTGTTACTACTTTCAATTTTGAATACAGGACTATTTAGGATTAGGAGTGTTAGACCATAAGATAGTTCTATGTTCAACTTTTTTGAGGAACTGTCAAACTCATTTCTGCAGTGGCTGTACCATTATTTTACATTCCCACCAGCAATGAATGTGGGTTCCATTACAAATTAGTCTTTAAGCTGACCTTATACTCCCTTGGATAACGTACTAGACTGCAAGATCAGTTTGAATTGTAAGGTCGGCAGTTCAAACCCACCAGCTGTTTCTCAGAATCCCTATACAGGGTCGTTATGAGTGAAGACTGGCTTGAAGGCAGTTAACAACAGCATACTCCCTCCTGAGTTCTTGGTTCCTTCTTAGAGCCAAGCAAACCTCCTGAACAGTCAGTTTCAGATTACTTTTTAACAAATTATTTATGATTTTGCTGTAGATGAAGGTGAGGTGGCTAAGAGTTTCAAGGATAGGAAATAGAGATACAAAGAAAGGGGCAAGTACCAATAGCACAGCTGTCAGAATGCTTGTTTGGGGCACTGAAGAGTTAAATTGACAAGGCTTGATCCAAAAGATAGAACTTTCTACACCTTTTGATAATCTCAGATATCCCCAGCAGGTCTTTGAAAACTAAAGAAATGCATTTTTTTTAATATCACTTAGTACCTGTGGTCAGCATACAACATCTTGTGGTAGTCAGGACTTGGAATTTGCCTAATCTAAAGCACAATGCTAGGTAGTAAACCACAAAGTGTACTTTCACTACTGGAATTAGCCTATATTTATTTATTCTTTGAAAAACAAGCAAAATATGTTCTGGGAGTCAAGAGAAAATCTCCTTTGATTTTCTGATGCCTGGGCAGAAAGTGAACAGGCCGTAAACAAAACAGGTTGATTTTACAAGAAATTCACAGGCGAAGCCTTGGCAGCTCAAAGGTTAGACTCTGCTGCTACACACAGAACGATTGTTTGTTGGAACACATCAAGTGGCTTTGTGGGAAAAAGACCTGACAATCTGCTTCTGTAAAGATTACAGCCTAGAAAACCCTATGGAACAGTTCTACTTTGTCACAAGGGATTACTGGGAGTTGGAATTGACTCCAGGCACCCAAACAACTATTCTAGTATAAAAAGTTTAGAAAATCTGAAAAGTTCTTGGTTAAACTTGTTCAGCAGAAGATTATTTGAGAAGCAACTCCAGGTAATTTGTCTTTGTGTTTCTTTATTGAGCAATTTTAAGATGAAAAAAAAGTATATATCAATGTTTTCTCATTTTCCCTTAGATTACCAACAAGAGCAAAGAGTCAACATGGGCCTTAATCCACAGTGTGAGTGACGCTTTTTCTGGCTGGCTGTTGATGCTACTTATTGGGCTTTTATCAGGTATGGTAAACTAGTTCTAAGATTGTGTTGTGCTCTATCTGCCCCACCCCCGCCCCAGTGTCATGAACTGAATTGAGTACTATGGTTTACTATTTTCCTACCTTAAATGAATTGCTGGTGAACCTCCTTTTAGAAACTCGGTTTCCCCATCCGTAAAGGGGGCTCTATTGCCTGAAACACCTACTTTAAATAAATGAGAGTTAAGTTAGGAGATGCAATTGACAAACGTTTTATAAACTATAAAATCTTCTATCCATCTAAAAGTGTTGTTTTCATTGCATTTTGGTGCTTGCTTTGAGAAAGAGCCCATCTGTTGGGGACAGTCAGTTGAGCTTCAACATACATTGCCAGAAGTTTAGGAGAGAGGTTGTAGAAGAGGACTTCCTGATAATTTATCTTTAATATTTCTTTAACCTCTACTCTTTCATTCATTGGTACAGAAGGGCATGTAATATATGCCTCTGTCCCTTCAAAGAATTGATGATCTTAGTCTTTCATAACAGCTTAGGAGTAGGGATGGTATACCTTTTCCTATAATCAACATCTCCATCAAACTCCCAAACCACCCCAACTAATATACAGCTTAACTAAAAATATTTACTATGCAAATGCAGATTTAAAACAAGTTCTCAAGCAGGCTTTTTCTCCCATGGAGGAAGCATAATGCCAGGGAGGAAACTAGACAAAGATGTTATGGGTTATGTTCTTATGACACTAAAAGATGGGGCCTAGAAAGATCTGGGAGACTGAGCTAAAATAGAAGTTATAGGGGGAACCTGGAGTTTCATAGCATAAAATGTCAGTCAATAGCAAAGACTCTAGCTTTTATTGGATTTGATTTCCAGCTCCATAATTTGCTAATTTTGTGGCTTTTGACAAGTTTCTTAGCCGCTGGAAGCATTAGTCTACTGATCTATAAAACATGTATGATAAGTACTGGACCACAAGGCCGTTTGAATCGCAAGGTCAGTGGTTCAAACTCAACCAGCCACTCCTTGGAAACCCTATACAGACAGGGTCCCTGTGATCCAGAAGCAACTAAACGACACTTAACAGCATATTACATGCTGGAGTCCTGGTGTGGTACTGTAGAATCACTGAACTGATAACTGCAAGGTTGGCTGTTCAAACCAAGCAGCCACTCCTTGGAAAACCTGACACAGTGTCAATTTGAGTCAGGACTGACCCGACAGCCGTTATCAACAACATATTGTATATTTGTTGTGAGGATTGAATGAGATGCAACACACATAGCACTTAGCACAGTGTCCAGTGTTAATGTTGTTGTTGCTGCTGCTGCTGCTGTTGTCACTCAGAGTCATAAAGTATAAAATTCTGGGTTTTTAAAGAGTGCCCAGGGCAGGGGTCCACATACATTTTCTGTATAGGGCCAGACAATAAATACTTGCGGGCCAAGTGGTCTCTGTAGCACTTATTTAACTTTGCCAGTGTAGCACAAAAGCAACCATAAACAATAGATAAATAAATAAGGGTGGCTGTGATTGAATAAGTACAAATATAGGCAGTGGGCAGGATATGGTCCTGTATTGATAGTTTTTCACCTCCTGATCCAGAGTGTTAACTGCCCTGCCTGACTCTCACAGGCCAGGTATGGAGCTGGTTAATATTAATCTGGATAGTCATGGTCTGTAATGCCAAATACTAAGGAAGAAAATGATTGGGAAAGGGTTATAAACAGTTTAGCAGTTAGGAGGATATCAGTGACCTTTGACGAACAATTTCAGGTCAATGTTGGGAGCCAGATATTAAGGGGAGGCAACCAGTATAGAAGTTTTGGGTATTCATTGGAAGGAGAAAAAGAACAAAAGCTCGAAGTGATGACAAAAATAAAGGAAAGTGTTTTATTCTTTGTTGGTGATGTTGGTGTTAAGTGCCAATGAGTCAGTCAGTCTCCACTCATAGCCACCCTTGTTTAAGGTTTCTGAGGAGCAGCTTATCCTACAATGCTACAGGGAACTCTGATAAAAATTTGTTTTCAGAACATTCATCACTTATACCATGAGTATGCCCCTTTCATGGACCCTGACTGTACACCAGATGAAAGGCAGTGCCATATTAGACTACTAACAAGACTGGCTCTTTCACCAGTATCGATTACAGTTTAGGGGAATAGGGTGGACGACTATGTTGGCATATTTCCTTTAAGCTCCCTTTCTTGGCAAACCATCATGGAAGGAAGAGTGATGTTTTATCTCGAAAGAACCATTATATAAGGAAAATAGTGATGGCTTTTAGCCAAAAAATTGTGTTTTTTGGTTCTGTTCTTGATAAACAGAGTGAGTGGCTTTCATTTCTAGGTTCTTCAAGAATAATGTTAGCAAGTGCCAGATGAAACAATAAAAGACATTGCCTAAAACAGAGTAACTTGATTGCCAAGGACTGTAAATTATCTTAAATTAGCAGTGTCTCCTATAACCAAGTGTAATGGGCATATTGGGATTCATGAGTAGGAATCATATATCCTTCCATACACAGTGTACACTTACTCTTGGCAAGGATGCTTTCATGTCTAACCAAGAATTTAGTTTATTCATCTTGCTTCAGAAGTGTTGATTATGTCTTGGTTTTGAAAACTTTAAAGTTGATCCTTACCATATGTCTCTTCACTTTGAGCTCTGTGAGATTACCTTTAGCATTCAGAGATTAAATGCTATTGAAAAGCCAAAACAAGGCCCTTAATAACCCTGAAACCTCACCATCAGAATTAGCATGAGAACACTAAAGTTCTTTAAGACTATAAAGTTCTATAAGACTCTAAGAGAGCATGACATTGAAAGTCAGTATAATCATAATTGGACAATAACTTGAATCTGTATTTGTCCAAGACAGTACTATCCCTTTGGTGTTCCAAAGTGTTTGCAGGGTGCAAGAATGTGCACCCTGCAAACACTTTGGGATATCTTGGGTTAAAGTCATAGCCTTTTTTTCCCAGCTCTCTGCTTTTAATTGTTTTCCAAAGTATGGGTCACCAAAACATTTACTAAGAGTGATTTGGTTTAGGATTTCGGAAATTTTTAGTAGTTGGAAAAAAAAACCACAACGTTCTTACAATGGAAACATCAGTTCTCTCCTGAGTTTAAATCATAATATAGGTTGGTGTCTTTGGGAAATGGCCACAGTTTTCAAGATCTAATTATGCATAATGAATTGAGAATTATTGGAATTTCACAGTAGCAGTTAAACAGCCATAAATTGTGTATCTCCTTAATTTATTTTAATTGTTGGAAATTTTAAAGAAACTTCAGTTAATATTTTATTAAGTGCCAATTTTAGGATATAACTAAATATCATTTATTAAAGAATAACAGGCCTACAGTTATTATTTGATGAAGGACAATCATCTACTGGTTACATGAATTTGTTAGTCAAACTGAAAATAATGTGAATTACAAAAGATTGGAAAATATTTTTATTCTGCAGACTCAGTAAATTTCTGTCGTTTGCTGTTACTGTGCTCATTTTTTAAAAATGGATTAGATAACAATATAAATGAATTCAAATCAGAGTCCTAGAGTAAGTATTGGATGCCAGAGAGGTATTTGTAACCGAAGTTCCTTCCTAAGTCTGTGTATATGTGCTACCTTAAAAATCCCTTAAGGACAGGCTGGGAGTAAATGAGTATCATTTAAAATTACCAAAGACTAATGCTTGGATTCTAACAAATAATCCATTTTATCCTCTATTGTTGTTTTTGTTAAGTGCCATCGAATCGGTTCCGACCCCTAGCGACCCTGTGTAGGGTTTCCGAGGAGCAGCTGGTGAGTTTGAACTGCCGACCATGCAGTTCAAACGGCTTTGCAGTCTGGCGCATTAACCCACAGCGCCACACCAGGACTCCTATCCTCTATTGTTGTTGTTAAGTACCGTGGAGTCGGTTCTGACTCATAGTGACCCTGCACAGGGTTTCCGAGGCTGTAAATCTTTACGGGAGCAGAACGCCTCATCTTTCTCCCGCGGAACCGCTGGTAGTTTCAAACTGCTGACCTTGAGGTTAGCAGTCCGATTTGTAACCACTACGCTACCAGAGCTCCTTACACAATGAACTAGGAGGTAGAATAAAAGCACTAAATATGTTATTAAGCCAATCCTCTATTAGTTCTATAGTATATAATTTGAGACTTTTTTAAGTTGGCAAATCATAAACCAGTTGTATAACAGTATCAAATCTAGAGTTTCATAGAAAGTTCCCACCTAAACTCCATCTTACCAAGCCTGAAGAAAGTTAAGCTCATACACATAATATGCTGACGTATAGTTCTTTTTCTAATAGTTTTTATGTCCTGTGCCAGAGATGAGAATATTTCTGGTACTGATTATAAGACCAAGGGTAAAAGGATTGTTGTAGAAGGCATACCATGGCAGTGGCTGGCAAGAGAGAGACATTCCTAGCCCAATCTTGACCTAGTTTCTTTTTTCCTCCCTCACACTTACTTTCCAAGTCATTTAGGAGAAGGCAGCCGTGTTTCTCCCCTATTGTTTCTGGCTATTTTATTTTTATTTGTTTTGCATGGAATGGAGCTCAAACAACCAGAAGAGAAAACACATTTTGATCAATTAAGCAAAATATTTGCTTCAAATTTCAGAAGTTACGTGGAGGGAAATAAAAATACTAAGTACTTTGACATGTGTTTGGTTTTTTTCTGTTTAAGCTTTTTGCATACTTTTGTTCATAGTATAGAGTTGGACTTTTTTCCCCTTAGAAATCATTCTTAAATCTGGCATTTTTGAATATTGGAAATATTTTTTTCAAAAGAACTTACTATTGTTAAGTGCCATTTGAGTGAGTTCCAACTCACAGTGACCCTGTATAGGGTTTCCTAAGAGCGGCTGGTGGGTTTGAACCACCAACCTTGTGGTTAGTCATTCAGTGCTCTGGCCTTATGCATATAGTGAAAATCAAATAATGTTTAATAAACTTTGCTGTGTTTAAAAACAAAACTTTTTATTGTGACTTGAGTGAAAGTTTATAGAGCAAAATTTTTTTTTTCAATTCAACAATTCACACACACATACACACACACATAATATTTTTTACTGTATGTCAACCTTTATTTTTAAAAATGCAAAATTTGCTGAGGTTTTGGCTGACGCGTTCTTCCTCTAAGGGGAAAAATACATATTTTTGCTTTTTTAAAAAAATAAAATAATACTTTATGTTCCAGCTTAATGTTCCAATTATATTTAAATTAAACACATTTTAAAGTTTTGTGTTTTGTTTTTAGGCCTTCCACTTTACCAAAGTTAATATGTATCTAACCCTCTAGTTAGTGATTTACTCTTTCTTCCCCTCCCCATGTTTCTTTCAGAGTGAAAACCTTTTCTTGACCTTTCATAATAGAGGTCTCATACGATATTTGTTCTTTTCTGATTGATTTATTTTACTCAGCATAATGTCAGCAAGGTTCATCCATGTTATTTAAGATGTTTCACAGATTCATACACATTTTGGTTTCTGACACTGATTGCATCCCTGTAGTATAACAACACTTTTCCCACTTTCTTTCTGTGTTTACCCTTTCCATTCTTCTTCTTTCCTATTATCTCCTACCTTCTGAGTTTTATTCCTGGGAAAATGCTGTCCTTTGATCTTATATAGTTGATTACTCTAAGGAGTGCATACCTCCCTGGTATTATTGTTCAAGTTATAAACCTGTGTATCTTTTGGCTGAAAGTTGAGCCGTGGAAGTGAGTTCAGTTAGGCCTGTAGGATATTTAAGGGGCATATCTTGGTGGTTCTAAATTTTACTTTCTTTATTAATTAGTAAACATAAAACTGTAAGCCATAACAGTTTCTTTGCCATGTAAATTCAGCTTAAAGGCAAGTCCCCTTGTCCCTTGCTCCCACCCAACCATTTTGCTTTTTCATAAGCTCCTTTTATAGCGAAATTCTACAGATGGCAAGTGTGTAATACAGAGATAAGGGGAAATCAAGCAAACACACCATCAGAAAGATATTATAGATGGAAAGAGAAAGTATAGCTTGTCTAGTATTTTGATTCCCCTTACTCTGATTATCAAAGAAAAAAAATTTCAGAAATTAAATTTAACTTTGCCCTTTCCCCCTTTCCAAATCAGGTTCCTTAGCTGGCTTGATAGACATCTCTGCTCACTGGATGACAGATTTAAAAGAAGGTATCTGCAAAGGGGGCTTCTGGTTTAACCATGAACATTGTTGCTGGAACTCTGATCATGTCACCTTTGAAGACAGAGACAAATGCCCAGAGTGGAATAGCTGGTCCCAGCTTATCATCAGCACAGATGAGGTAATATGTAGTAAAGATTTCTGAGTCATTGACCTTTGTTCTTACATTCACTTTATTTCTTAATTCTGTACTCAGAATAATTTATGGAATCTTCCCCTATTTTCCTTTCCAAGAAAAAGTGTCAGTTGCCTTTCTTTGTGGCTTAAGTGAAGCCCATTTCCATCCCTACTGACACATGAATTCATTTGGACATAGACTTGAAATTTTGTTGTTGTTGTTGTTTTTCCTCTTTTTAAAATTTATTTTTTGTTATCAAAGACAAAGATAATATCCAGAAACATCATCAAGAATGAAAGAATCTTTTCATGGCATTGTTTTTACAAAAGTTTCCAATGCAGTGTGAATATTTTGTTTTCTTATGTATGCTTCACTGATTAATTATGAGGTGAATGAACTGATGCAATTGCTTAAAAAAATACAGACACCCTTACAGAGGAGGGACAAAAAGCTGTTCTCATTCTGAATCTGTTGATTACAGTGAGTTCACTGGTCATAATACCACCACAGGCTAAGAACCAAAAAAATATTACCACAAAAATCATAGAAACTTATATTAAACACAGACATCAAAATGTAAAGCTATTGTTTTTTTGACATGTTTTCCATCTAGGACTACATACTTCTGACATCTTACTGGTGTTAGCTTATGGGCAGGGTCCGAAAGTTTCTGCTGCATATTCTTGCTCCTATGTCTATGGTAGCAAAATTCTCTCAATGAAGTGGTTACTCTTTAGAGCACTTAATTATGGATTTTAAGGGGGAGAAAACACCCCCAAGAATTTTAGTAAATATAATTTCTTGGGAGAATTTGTCGCCAAAGTAATCAAAGATGAATTTTGTGGAGCTTTTGGGTCAGTCTTCACTTCAAATATATAGCTAACGTTCCATTCTTCCAATAAAAGGGCTTTAGACCTTTTGATAAGATGGTTAATTGTAAACCTATGAAGTCACTCGAAGAAAGTGAATTTTATTTCGGGGCTTTCAGTTTGCTCTGCCTTTTTGTCCAGCCTTAGAAATAATTGTAAATTTGCTTTGGGCATATCAAAACAACTCATTTTCAGTGACAAGTGGCCTGACAGCGTTTTAATAATTGCTTTGCTCTGGAAAGGAACCACTTGAGCTATTTGATGTTGGTCTTTTTCTTTTTAAAATTTTTTATGATCTCCCTCCTAAAAAGCCACTACTCAAAAGAATTGTGTGTGTATCTAGGCTAAAACAAGCTTTTTACTTTTTTTCTCCTATTCCAGGGAGCTTTTGCCTACATAGTCAACTATTTCATGTACGTCCTTTGGGCTCTCCTTTTTGCCTTCCTTGCTGTATCTCTTGTCAAGGTGTTTGCACCATATGCCTGTGGCTCGGGAATACCTGAGGTGAGTGTCTACAGTGGATTATAAATTTTAATAATAATGATCCTTTTTGGTTAAAACCCTTTAATATGTATCTCAGCATATACCACAGTTTGGTGAATGTTAAACAGGATTAGGCCTGAGGTCTTCCCTTAAGCCTCTCCCAGTCTATGCCATCTGGAAATAAAAGGGAATTGAGTCTGAGCCTCCTAGGGGTTTCTGTTGGGACTCCTGAAGACCTCCCCTACTCCCTACCCAAGAAACGCTCATTGTAGATCCCAAGATTCTGGCCTCAAAAAGTAGAAGCGTTGCCAACTTTGTTAGAGTACAAGAAATAAAGCTGTTTTATTACAGTTTCCACAATGTGATTTGAACTAGAAGGGAGGGAGATTTTGCAACCCTATTCATAACTATTAGTTTAGATTGCTTAACAGTGACTAAAGCAACCAAGATGACCTTGGTCATTTCTATTTCCTGACCAAGTAATAACCATGAATTTCTTTAACAGTGAATCAAGGCTATGCCTAACCTTTAAGATTGTTTCAGGGGGATTAAGCTTGCCCTCTTAGAACATGTCTGTTGGGCCACTGGCCACCATTTTGTGATGTAAAGAAAACATTCATCATTCCCTTTTTTGCCTCCCTGTTCTTCCTATATTTATACTCTCATATTTACAATAAACTCTTGTCCAGCTATCACATAGCCAAAAAAGGGGAACATTAAAGCTTTCTTGGGCTCCTGGGTTCTCTCCCAAACTGGGATCACTGTAGGCCAAAGTGTTTGTATGAGCCATGGACAAAACTGTGTAATTTCTAAATTGAAGTTCAGAATATTGCTTCTTAGCAGCCTTGTTTACTTGCTTAGTTTTTATCTGATCTCTTTGTTTGACCTACAGATAAAAACTATCCTGAGTGGTTTCATTATTAGGGGCTACTTGGGTAAGTGGACCCTGATTATCAAAACCATTACCTTAGTACTGGCGGTATCATCTGGCTTGAGTCTGGGCAAAGAGGGCCCCCTAGTGCACGTGGCTTGCTGCTGTGGGAACATCCTGTGCCACTGTTTCAACAAATACAGGAAGAATGAAGCTAAGCGCAGAGAGGTAATTGCAAACACCCCTAATATTCTTTTTTTCTTTTGTGATTCAGGCAATGTTAAGATAAATACCCTTTGACCCAGAAATCCCACTGACACCCTAGCATGTTTATACACAAAGATGGATGCACGGGGATAGTCAATATAGCATTTACCAATGTAGTGAAAGACTTAAATTATCTAAATGTCAACAGTAAGGGACTGAGTGAAGAAACAGTAGGCTATCCGTACTGTGTAACTAATGAAAGAAAGAGGTAGCCCTATGTGTACTGACATGAAATGATGGCTACGAAACACTGTTAAGTTTTAAAACCAGTTTTTGAATGAGGTGTCGAACTTTTAAAAGGTGACACAGTTAAGCACTTCACTACACCTGAGTTCTAGCCCACCCAGAGGCACCTCAGAAGTAAGATCTGGCGATCTGCTTCAGAAAGGTCAAAGCCTTGAGACCCTATAAAGCAGTGCTGCTCTGCGCACAGGAGGTCACCATGAATTGGAATCAACTGAATGACAAGTAACAACATACATATGCACTTAGTGAATGTTTGGAAAGTGGGTTGACCTCAAACTGTTAAAAAAAAACTACCTCTTTCCCCTCAACCATACCACAGCATTTCTGTAGTTATTCTCATGTTTATACAATTGTTACTATATGTTATTTTGAGGAAGAAGAGCACATTTTTTCAGTGTTTCAAGTCATTGGTTACTTTCGTCCTGCTATTACTGAGGACTTTTGAAAATAATGATTCTTTCTCCAATTTCCTTGAATTTCAAAGAAGTCACATATGGAATGGGCTAAGACCAAGGTCCTTCCATTAAAACAAATTTTTAACAAAAGTCGAAAGTAGCAATTTTATTCTGGAAAGAAAATTAACCACAAGACTCAGAAGGAACTCAAGGAAGCTTCAATTTCATGTATGGAGTAAAGTTTGATAATACGAGAGAGGAAAGTACCTGGCATAGTTTTTCTGTTTTAAGTTTTTATTGTGGATTGAGTGAAAGTTTACAGGACACATCATCAGTTTTACATTCAACTGTTCATTACACCTTGTTCATTATAATGATTATAATCCCCTCCGTGTACCATCAGATAACAGTATTTCTATTAACTTTAGCTTTTTTTTTTAACACTCAGGCATATTTAATAATTTACACCACCAAAGGGCACATTCTGCAAGTCTGCCTCCTGGCTGCCATCTCATAGTCCCTCTCTTCCCATGAATCTAGAGTCCTCAGCTGCTCCCTCTCTCCATGTCCCCATCTCTGCTTCCATCTCTGGTGTCGCTGCTTCTCTCGATAGGGTCTCGCATTCCACTTGTGCTATTCTCCCTTGATGGTCCTAGGGTCCTCTATTTCTGGACTGTAAGATTAACTACTCCCCCGTTTTTGTTACAAAACTTCTACCTTTACAATTGTGACAGTTGCAATTAGTCATGATAACAGTTACTCACTACTGAATCATCTCTTTTCACCAGACCCAGCTAGACAAGATGAAAACTATTTAGTGGGGACTCTTTCTCCCCCCCCCCCCCCCACACACTCTTAAACTAAATTCTCTTTTGAAACCTTATAAGCCAGTCACTTCATGCCTGTATCCTCCCCCTCGTTTTAGGTTGCCAATGTCTAAGATGTTCATCCCTATCTACCCTGTGTACAGAGGGGATAACATTGATACTTGATGTGAAGACTCCTCCCCTCTCTGTTGGTATTTAGAGTTACTGCCTCCATGAGTATAGGTCAGGTTCATCAAATTGTAGCAATTTACCCTCATTCCCTTTATCAAAAATTGTTTTATTCTTTTTTTTTTTATCTTCCTCTAGTTGCATTCTTATTATCAAGCCATCGAGGCTAGGTCAAATGGGTGCTAAACGCAAGTTTGGGTGTCCTTGTGTGTCTCCCCTCCCTTCATACCATATCAGATGTATTCTTTACTCTCAGCTCTATCCCTCTGTGGCTATGTCCTTGTCCATAGGCTCAGGTGTCTCCAGGTCTCACCAGACTTTGGACCAACCAGCTCTTCCTCTTCTCTCTCTCATCTCCAGGTCAACGGGAGTCTATGGAACATGGTTGAACTCAGCCCATTTCTTCATTGCTGCCTTTCCCCCACTTCCACTTACCAGTAGACCAATGTGGTCTATAGTTTAAAAGGAATGGAGAGCTAGATGGAGAGAGGTCAGGATATCTGAGTAGATTATTTAGCTACCTGTCATAGGGTAGAAAGGAGCCTTGGTGGTGTAGTGGGTTACACATTGGACTGAAAACCACAGTGTTATCAGTTCACATCCACCAGCAGGAGAAAGGTGAAGTTTTCTGCATCCATAAAGATTAACAGTCTCAGCAACCCTATATAGGGTCGCTCTGGGTCCCAACTGACTGCACACCACACTACCACCACCACTACTGTAGGGCAGAGGGAATGTGTTAATATGTTAAGCCGAAATAATATACAACAGAAGTTAAAACATTGAAAGGACATTTTAATGGGCAAGAGGTTAGTGCTGTGCTTGCATGGGCGGAAGGTAAATTTGGAACTACAGTTTGTGGTTACTTTCATTCCATAAAATTGGCACTTTTGTTCAGATGTTGTTGCTGTTAGTTGTTAAGTGCCCTCGAGTCAGTTCCAACTCATAATGACACCCTATATAGTGTTTCCGAAGTTGTAAATCTTTACAGAACAGAAAGCCTCCTCTTCCTTTCATGCTGCAGTTGGTGGGCTTGGACCACACACCTTGTGGTTAGCAGTCCAGTGCTTAAGCTACTGAACCTCTCTGTTCAAATAGTTTCATATAAAATGAGAATTGGTTTTGTAGTTTCTCTGTAGACGTGTCATAAGTATATTTGAATCTTTAATCCCTATTATTTTGACTTTCCAGTTCTTGTTTTCTGTAGTTCTCACCTATCATTAACTGTTTTATGCTCAAGTTTCTAAAAGTAGGCAGGTGGTTAAGAGTAAAATAATGATTTGGCAAGGGCTGACATGGACAGACTCCCCTCTATAGAAAATTCAAGCAGACTGGTCAACCTGATTCTTTTTTCTCCCTCGTAATTCATCCTAAACACCGTTTCTCAAGTTGAATGTTGGCGGTCTTCATCCTGGTGTTCCTGGGTGGCACAGTTAAAGCAGTCAGCTGCTGACTGAAATGGTTAGCATTTGTGTCCACCCAGAGCTGTCTTGATGGTCCACTTCTTAAAAGATTAGCTAGCCATTGAAAACCCTTTTGAGTGCAGTTCTAAATTTTCACAAATTAGCATCATAGACCTCACTCTCTCCTCATTTTTTCTGAGCCGCCTTACACTCCCAGAGAAATCTTTCTAATAATTTTGCAAAAACGCTTTTATTCAAAACATTATTTTAGTTTAACTTTCTCTTTAAAATAGTTCTTTACTATTCCAGATCATATAATTGTCCACACCAACCAGAATCCAATGAAAGGGACTTTATCCTTCCATGAATTCTTGTTGGTTTGCAATTGCTAGTGTTCATTATGCACATTTTTATGTATGTGCATTTAAAATACCAAGGTTGTGCTCTAAATGTATATTTGTGTGCTCTCTTGCATGCTCCCTATCTCTTTATCCCTTATTCTCTCCCTCTGGCATCTGCTTTCTCTACCTTTCTAGCCCCTGGCCTTGCCATACCTGTATTTAAAAATGTCTCCTTCATCTTTCTTCTAGTTGCCTATTTCTGTTTTCATGGGATTCTGGACATGGATTAGGACCAATTTTTTTTTTTTTTTTTTTTTCAAAAAGGGAGGGGTAAATGCAGAACAGAATGTTAAATTCTCATAGACTTCAGATTTTCTGGAGCCATAGAGGTTGGGCGAGTCTCTGAAGCTATTGCCTTGAGATAATCTTTAAACCTTTAATCAGAAATATCCCCTGAAGTCTTCTTGTTCCGTTCGATCAAGTCAACTGCAACTCATAGGGACCTTGATTAGGGGTTCAGAGGAGCAGCTGGTGGGTTTGAACTGCTGACCTTGTGGTTCGCAATCCAGGGCTAATCCTATAGTGGTAGTTTAACTTAACTAGTAAAGGATTCTTGCCTTAGTCATTATACTCTTTTAAGATCTGTCTATGTGGGATCAGATTGACAACAGCAACTTAAAAGATTGGATAGGAACCTTAGAGGGCAGTGAGTGTATGTTACTGAGGAAGAACAACTCTGAAAAGGCGGTTAAGAATGTACATCTCAAAGAATGTAATTCATGTCACTGAATTGCACATGCAGAAATTGTTGAGTTGGTAAATACTCTGCTGTGTATATTGTCAACAACAAAAATAAAAACTGTTTTGGAAAATCTCATTTACAAAGAACGTGCTCTGTGAATACATCACTCTAAGGACTTCATTTAGGTGGTGAACAGGTTCATAAACTTAAATAATCAGTTAACTGAATTGTGAGTATTTGGGGTGGGGAAGAGAACATAATTTAAATAAAGTGCTTGACTAAATCAATTACAAAGGAAAAGCCCTCCTACTTACTTTTTCAAGCATCAGAATCAAATGTCTGTATACAGTGTTCTCAAAGTAAATATAAATTCCTCATATTTGATAAACAGGACCATGTAAAGATTGTTTTGTCTTTAATGTTTATTAACCACTAAGGAGCTCTGGTAGCGTAGTGGTTATGAATCGGGCTGTGAACTACAAGGCCAGCAGTTCAAAACTACCAGCGGAGAAAGGTGAGGCTTTCTGCTCCCGTAAAGATTTACAGCCTCGGAAACCCTGTGCAGGGTCCCTATGAGTCGGAACCGACTCCACAACAACAACAAGCCTTTAAAAATGTGATTTGCAGGTAGAAATATGTCATTATCTTTTTACTAATTTTGTGTTTTGATCATAGGTCTTGTCAGCTGCAGCAGCAGCTGGTGTATCTGTAGCTTTTGGGGCACCCATTGGCGGAGTATTATTCAGCCTAGAAGAGGTAACTACTTTTAACTGCAGAGCATGTGTGTTCTTTATGTTGGGAATTTTGGCCAAGATCTGTGTGTGTACATCACAGTTCCTAAGTGCTCTGTTCAAATTATTTCTTTACCACGTGACTCTAGAATTGTATAGACAGCCTTAACACTATAATATTTGTAGCACAAACTGGTCACACAAATCAGTGTCTTGTATATAGTCTGATTTTGCTTTCTCACCTTTTCTCTTATAGGTCAGCTACTATTTTCCCCTCAAAACACTGTGGCGTTCATTCTTTGCTGCCTTGGTGGCAGCGTTTACTCTACGTTCCATCAATCCATTTGGAAACAGCCGCCTGGTTCTATTTTATGTGGAGTTTCATACCCCGTGGCATCTCTTTGAGCTTGTGCCATTCATTCTGCTGGGCATATTTGGTGGTCTGTGGGGAGCTTTGTTTATTCGCACAAACATTGCTTGGTGCCGGAAGCGTAAGACCACTCAGTTGGGCAAATATCCTGTCATAGAGGTACTCATCGTGACAGCCATCACTGCCATTCTGGCTTTCCCCAATGAATATACCCGTATGAGTACCAGTGAGCTCATTTCGGAGCTATTTAATGATTGTGGCCTTCTGGACTCCTCCAAACTCTGTGATTATGAGAATCGTTTCAACACAAGCAAGGGGAGTGATCTGCCTGACAGACCTGCTGGCCTGGGAGTCTACACTGCAATGTGGCAGCTGGCTTTGACACTCATACTGAAAATTGTCATTACTATATTCACCTTTGGCATGAAGGTAAGGATATCCTTTGGGTGTTTAGTGGATACTTGTATGACTATGAATGTTGGAAGGCATCCTGATCACTCCTATAGAGCTTTCAACTTCTGCAGACATCATCCTCCCACCCCTAATAGCCTATTTAATCCCCACATGTTTTCATAACTTCCTAGACAATTGTACCTCTACCTCATTTCTCAGACCAAGTACAAACTTCAATGAGCGTTTTTAGGTAGAAATGTTTTCTCCTTTTCTATAGAAAATGTATATTTGCTGCTCAAAAAGAATGGTGAGGTATTTATTCCAGCACATTTCACATTAAAACAGTATCTGGACATATAGGGTGGCTTGGTGATGGTAGTGGTTGTGTGCCATCAATTCAGTTCCAACTCATAACAACCCTGTATAGGGTTTCCAAGGCTGTAAATCTTTACAGGAGTAGAAAACTGCATCTTTCTTCTGGAGCTGCTGGTAGATTCAAACGGCTGACCTTGCAGTTAACAGTCCAACTCATAACCCACTACACTACCAGGGCACTTAGCATTTACCAAAATTGCAAAATATTAGGCTGAACCAAATGAAGTTGCCAATATTCAACCACTTTGACTACTAAAATAGCAGTTTCATGTGGTTCAACCTAATATATAGTTAAATGTAATTTAATGCTCGTTTATCAAGAATGGAGCATCCACTTCACAGGTGATCATAAATTAGTATTGAAGCTATCAAAAGCAGACAACAGGCCAGCATGTTTTACTTTAAATATAGTAGTTTTACTACTACTATATTTCAGAAGAAACCAGAAAGGAACATTTATTAAGGTATTTCCTCCTCATCCTTCCAAGATTCTTTTTCTCTTCTTTAACACTCCACTACCAAGTTACTTCCCTTTATGCTCTAGGGAAACAAATTCAAACCAGAAACAGAAACTTGGTTTAGAAAATACTGTTGTAATCTCTGTGATGATTCCACATATAACCTCAACACAGGGATAGAGTGGAGATAATTGAAAGGATTTGCAGTATTTCTTGACTTAATTTTCACCTTCATTCTTTCATTTAAAATGAATTTACAGACCATCAGACCCACATAAATGCAAGTACATTCCATAATCAAACAAATTGTTTTTAATTAATCTGTTTTGATTATCCTTCATTATATTTGTATCTTCGGAGTTAAGAAAGAGGGCCGGAAGGTAAATGAGGTTTCCTCCTTTGGTTAGTCATGCAACCACAGTCTCTATATCATTTTAATTTTGAGTCTTACTTTATATTACTATAAAATAAACTGAAACCTCATGTGTCACCCTTTTTGTGTGAGCAGTAGGTTAAGATTTAACACAGAGTAGTTAGGAGCATCACATTTAAAACCACCACCAGCATTTACTAAATCTTGACCTTGAATCGGTCATTTTCTCTGAAACGTAGGTTCTTAATGATTTGGAAATAATAGCACCTGCCTCCTAGAGTTGTCAAGAATTGATGAAATCTTGTATGTAGAGCATTCAGGACTTAGTATATAATCAGTAAAGGATATAGTTATTGATACGAATTCAAAATTAAGGGCAGTGTCTGCATATATGAAAAACTCCATCTAGTTTCCTTTTTCTTTGGGAAAGAGTTAATTTCTGCCCCCAGTTCTGTCTTGGTCTGGAGAATTCAGGCTCTTGCCTAATGGACCATGAATCAGGGTAAGCTTCTTTGCAGTTGTCCTTACCCACACGTTCCAGAGAACCTTTAGTTACTGTAGTGTTACACAGATCTTTACAGCCACTTGCCAGCATAGTGCATAGTTACATTGCCATTGGCCTGTTTGCTTTATATAAAGTGAGCCCTTTAGCCCTTACCGCAAGTCAAAAACATCATTTCTCAGCCATATATTGCTTTCTCTTTACAGATCCCTTCTGGCCTCTTTATACCTAGCATGGCTGTTGGTGCTATAGCAGGCCGACTTTTAGGAGTGGGAATGGAACAACTGGCTTATTACCACCATGACTGGGCCATCTTCAATAGCTGGTGTAGTCAAGGAGCTGATTGTATCACACCTGGCCTTTATGCAATGGTTGGGGCTGCAGCATGCTTAGGTGAGTAAGTGTTTAAATTGATGCCAAAGAAGTTGCTATCCAGGTGGCATGAAAAACAATTGGCTGCAGATTTTTCAGTGGTCTTCAGGTTTCTATTGGGTTTGCCATTTTTAAAGTGCTTTAAGAGCACATTCTTTCGACTTCCAGCAAGATGGAGAACTAGGCAGATGCACTACATGGACCCTCTACAACAAAGATAAGAGAGAAAATAAAACAGAAACAGATGAGAATTTTGGCACCCTGAACTTCAGAAGACAGGTTAGAGAGGTAGATGAAGCGCTTGCTGAGAGGAGAGGCCAAGCAGGGAGAGCAAGTGAGGGAGCCTGACTGGTGAACAGCTGGCCATACATGACTTGAGCATCTTTGGCGGATGAGCAGATTCATGCAGGTGAAGAAAGAAGTACGACTTATTCTTTTTTATCCCCATGCTCACCTGGTGAACAGAAGTGTGGCCAGCTCCCACCCTCATCCACCACCAGTACAGACCTTGCTCTCCAAGAGTCTGGATATTCATGGTTGGGAGCCACACCAGTGTGAGGTGAGGGGCCAACTGTACCACTTTGGTGCCTGGATTCAGGTGGGCTCAGCTCCAGGCCTACAAAGCCCACAGAGCCACCAGACCAGCATTTAACCAGTCACACTACCGCTAGCTTCCCTATCGTCTTAACAGACTCTGAAACAAGCTCTATCAAGGGTCCCCACAAACAACTTCTGGATTGAGTGCCCTGAACATAACATAACACTGAGGTCAGTAGGAATTCCAGGAACTCTGGTGCCAGGAACTCTGCTACCACATCCCTTCAGCAACCACCTTGTGAGCTTCTTGAACTGCAGGAGCCCCCCCCCCCCCAGAGATTTCTTCCCTCCAGGTCCAATAACTACACTGTTTTCACAAATACAAACCCCACAATGCCCCAAGAGACAACAGACAATTTTAGTTCATGTTAAGAAACGAGAGAATGGCACAAACAAAAATGACTAGGCTACAGAGACAGTGTTTCTGAGGTAGAAAACGTAATGGAAATAACTGAAAAGGAATGATAATTAGATACCTTCAAAGGATCGATTAAAAGATTAAGGAAACTAAGGATAACATAAAAACACAAGAATTCAGGAAAACACTACAAGAACAAAAAAGGAAATGCAAATTTTGAAACAATACTAAAACTGCGATTAGAAATCCAGAAGATTAATGATAAGCTCTCAGAAATGGACAACACACTGAAATGGCAAAGGAGTAGATGCAAAGCAATGATTAATGAGCTTAAAGATAAATCACAGTATTAGTATGCTAGAACAATCAGAAAAAAAAAAAAAAAAAAGAATGAAAGAATCCAAAGAAAGTCTAAGAGTTATGTGGGATACCATGAAGAGGAACAACTTAAAGGTGATCAGAATTCCAGAACAGGAAGAGATAATAAAAAGCACAGAGAAAATTGTTGAAGAGTTGTTGAAAGAAAACTTCCCTAACATCATGAAAGACAAGAAGATAGGCCTACAAGAAGCTGAACAAACCCCAAACAGGATAGATTCCAAAAGAAAATCACCAAGATATATCATAATCAAACGTCCAAAGTAAAAAACAAGGAAAGAATCCTGAGAGCAGCTCAGGCTAAATGAAAAGTTACCTGTAAAGGAGAACCAATGAGAATAAGCTCTGCTTTTTCAGCAGAAACCATGCAGGCAAGAAAGCAGTAGAATGACATATGCAAAATTCTGAAAGAAAAAGATTGCCAACCAAGAATCATATACCCAGAAAAGCTGTCCCTTAAATATGACAGCAAAATTAGGACATATCCTGATAAACAGAAATTAAAGACATTTGTAATGATCAGATCAAGTTTACAAAAAAAATGCTATAGGGTGTTCTTTGGACTAAGAACCAACAACAGCAGACAAAAACCTCAAATTAACATACATTACAACACCCAGAACTCAATGTAAAGTATTTCAAGTAAAACAAATCTACAAGACTGAAACTAGGGAACCAGAGATGTAGGTGTATAATGACATCAACTACAAAGCAACTAGATAGAGAACTTCAAAAGGCAAGGAAGTTACATAGACTTCAAGATAAAATAGTGTTTTAACCAGAGAAAAATTAATAAATTACAGGGTAACCACAAAGAATCATAATACAAACTGCACATCAAAATTAAAAATGAAAATTAGAAAGATTTAGTAAACATTAACACAACAGAAATGAAAATGACAAGAAAACTCATAAAGAAAATGAACTCAGCATGGAAAATTATGTAGAACAAAGAATCCAGCAGCACCACAAAAAAAGTACACAGAAAATGTCAACAATCAATTTATGTCCATTGATAATTACACTGAATTAAATGGATTAAATGTACCAGTCAGGAGACATAAAAACAAAATGGATAAGAAAACAGGTCCCTTCAATATGTTGTCTACAAGAGGCATATCAAAATGATAGAGATCGCCTAAATGCCAAACAACAGAATGGCTAAACAAACTTTGATACCTACAAATAATGGAACACTACAGAATGCTGAAGAATAATGATGAATCTGTGAAACATCTCAAAGCATGGTTGAACCTGAAGGACATTATGATGAGTGAAATGAATCAATCATAAATGGACAAACATTGTATGAGACCAATATAGTAAAACATTAAAGATTTTCTTGATAAAAGGAACATTCTATGATGGTTGGGGTGGGGGAATTATTCATGGGCTGGAGTCCTGGTGTGGTGCTGAAAGATAAATGTACTAAACCACAAAGTTGATTTGATCCACAAGGTCAGAAATTCAAACCTACCAGCTGCTCCTCAGAAAACCTAGACAGGATCTCTCTGTGTTGGAACTGACACAGTGGCACTTAACAACACCAACAGAGGGTAGACACATGTTAGCATGAGTGACAAAGCAAACAGTATTATACAGCAAGATCCACATTCCACATGGGTCACCTGTCTTTGAAATGGACACAAATATGAATCTCTTCTAGTCAGTTGGCCACGTTTCTGTCTTTGAAATGTCTTGGAACAGATGAGTGAGCACCTCCATTGCTGCATAAGTTTGTTGAAAGGTTTCAATTTGCGTTTCATCAATTCCTGAAGCCTTCAGTGCAGCTTAGACTTCTTCCTTCAGTACCATGAGTAGTTGATCATATGCTACCTCTTGAAATGGTTGAACCTTGATCATTTCTTTTTAGTATGCTGTTGTTGGATTGTATTGACATTTTCACAGTGTTAAGTGTTCCTATGGATCAGCATGATATATTCTTCCATTTTTGTAGGTCTCTCTTGGTTCCTTGTAATAATGTTTTGTAGTTTTCTTTGTATAGGTCTGTTGTTTTTCTGGTTAGATTTATTCCTAAATATTGTAAATGGTATTTTCCTAATTTCTTTTTCCGAGCTGTCTTCATTAGTATAGAGGAATCCAACTGATTTCTGTATATTAATCTTGTACCTTGCCACTTCACTGAGTTCTTCAATGAGTGCAATAATTATCTTGCTGAGTCTTTGGGATTTTATATGTAAAAGATCATATCATGTTCAAATAGAGAGAGTTTTACTTTATCTTTGCCTATTTTGATGCCTTTAATTTCCCTACTTTGTTTTATAGCTCTGGTTAAGATTTCCAACACAATATTTAATAGGAGTGGTGATAAAGAGCATCCTTGTCTAGTTCCTGTTCGCAAAGGGAATGTTTTCAGTGTCTCTTCATTGAGAGTAATTCTAGCTGTTGGATTTGTATGTTGCTGATGTTATGTGCCTTCAAGTCAGTTCTGACTCATAGCGACCGTATATAGATAGGGATTCCAAGGAGTGAATGATAGGTTTGAACCACCGACCTTGCAGCTCAAACTGTGTTTGCAGTCCAGTACACTATCCTGCAACATTACACCAGGACTCTATTAGATTTGTATGTTGTTGTTGTTAAGTGCCATAGAGTCCATTATGACCGATAGTGCTCCTGTATAGGGTTTCCGAGAAGCGCCTGGTGAGCTTGAACCACTGACCTTGTGGTTCAAACAAACTTTGCAGTCCCCCGCTTTAACCCACAGTGCCGCAACAGGACTCCATTGAATTTGTATGTTGTTGTTGTTGTTGTTATGTGCCGTGGAGTTGGTTCCGACTCATAGCGACCCTGCACAGGGTTTCCGAGGCTGTTAATCTTTACGGGAGCAGAATGCCTCATCTTTCTCCCACGGAGCAGCTGACAGTTTCGAACTGTTGACCTTGCGGTTCGCAGCCCGATTCATAACCACTATGCTACCAGAGCTCCTTTGTATTGTATATGTGTCCTTAATTATGCTGTGGAATTTCTCTTCAATACCTACTTTGTTGAGTGTTTTTTATCAAGAATGGATGTTGGATTTTGTCAATTGCCTTTTCTGAATCTGTCAAAATAATCATGTGGTTATTTTCCTATTTTTATTTATATGCTGAATTACTTTGATTGTTTTTCTAATATTGAACCATTCTTGTATCCCTGGAGTGAATCACACTTCGTCATGATATATAGTTTTTTGATATGTTGTTGAATTCTATTGTCTAGAATTTTGCTGAGAATTTTTGCATCTATATTCATGAGGGATATTGGTCTATAATTTTCTTGTTTACTGATGTCCTTGCCTGATTTTGGTATAAGGATTATGCTCACTTCACAAAATGTATTTGGAAGTTTTCCATCCTTTTCTATATTCTGGAATTGTTTGAATTGGTGTCAGGTCTTCTCTGAATGTTTGGTAAAACTCACCAATAAAGCCATCTGGGCCTGGACTTTTTTTGGTTGGGAGTTGTTTGATAACCTGTTCAATTTCTTCTTTTGTTACAGGTCTGTTCAAGTTTTCTACTTTGCTATGTGTTAGCTTAGGAAAGTTGTGTTTTTCTAGAAATGTATTCCTCTATATTTTCAAATTTGCCGGTGTACAACTCTTCATAGTATTCTGCTATTATATTTTTTTCTATTAGTTATGTTGTGATGTCACCCATTTGGTTTCTTATGCATGTTATTTGCATCT